TACAGGTGCTCGCCACCACGCCCGGTCTCAATCACAGTCTCAGCATGCCCTGGGGGTGGGGCCAGCACAGCTTGCCGGGGATCGAACCCCGGCCCCTGCACTCTGCCTAAGCAGGCGCTTTAGTCCACTGAGCTACCTGGCCGGCCCTCATTATTGATTTCTGGGGAGGGGGGGAACTAAGTACACAACTGCAAAGATTCTTACTATATAAAAAGAGGGCTTTGCCTGTGTCTTCCTAACCCAATCCATCTTCTTAAGAAGAAATCTAGAATTACTTCTGTGCTTACGTTATCCATTGTCAGCAGCCAGGTAACTAGTCTGCTAGCATTTTTTTCTCAACAGTGTTTCTTCACTCCTCTTGCCAGTGCTACCAACAAATGCTTAAAGGTAGTTTTCTTGATACCTGCAATGACTTTACATGTGTATCTCTAGTGTTGTTTCCACCTATCCGGGTTTATTTTCAGACTTGGAGATTTTATACCTCATAACACCATAATAGCCAAAGAAATAAATAATGCAAGTACAGGTGGTCTTCTAAAGCAGGGATTTACATTAATTAAGCACATATCAGGGCGCAAGTAAGTCAGATCTCACTGACTTAAGTGATATTTAAGAATAGCAGTATCAGCTTAGCCAGCTTAAATGTACAGTATTTCAGGTCAGCCACCCACTTAGATGTGGCCTCTCTTTCATCGTAGACTGTCAGGCAGAACGATAACCACCCACGTCCGTGTTAGTGTGCCTGCATGCTCTGTCAGGCTGGAAGGTCATTTTCCATGGCTCAGAGCCCACCTGTCAGATATGTGGAGTGAAAATTGGCAGCCTACTGCCATGGAAGCACTGAGCAGGAATCAATCACAAGTCCTTTGCTCTTGATTAATACGCCAGTTTCCAATTATTTGGTTGCTTTCATTGCTTGCACATTCCTCTTCTTGCAAGCACTCCTCAGACACCTTGTCCCATTGCTGAAAAAATAACTCAAGGGTGACTGAAGGCTTCACGTTGCCGAACAGCCATACGTGGTCAGATTGAAGAGTTGTTGGTTCGCTTTCATGGAGATTTGGTAGGGCACTTTGCAGTTTCTTAGTCAAGTATTTAGTGCTTCTGTAAACTATTTGACTTCACCGAAATTTATAGTTAAGGATTGGTTTGCTGTTTGAATGTGCTGGTTTTGCATAATCTGTAAGTGGTTGTTTCCGGTGTTACTTACTGTACTTGTGGGGCGTGTTATTCAGCCTTGATAGACATCAGATTTGTAAAACAGACGAGTGAGCTGTTCTTTGAAACTTTATTTTTTTAAATTTTCTTATGAGTATGATATTATAGAATGGAGAAACACGTTTGATTTTTTTTTTCTTTTCTTGTATTTGATTATGTCACTCTAATTCAAATAAAAGCACCTTGGTGAAAAGATAATTCCTTTGAATTTTTTGTATTATGTATCACAGCTCCTGAAAAAGTATACCACCATATAAGGTTTGTTTTAAGAAATTGTAGCAGGAGTGGGGATAGAGCTCAGCAGCATAGCTCCTGCCTGGCAAGAACAAGGTCCTAAGTTCAATTCCTCGTGCAAAAAAAAAAAAAAAAAAAAAAACTATAGCAGATACTTCTACTTCCAAAAATTGTCTTCCAGGTAGGAGAAAGACTATCCTTCAGCCTGCGTAAGTGACACTATTATATGGAGCCGAATTGGAATCTTTCTCCTGAAGACAATTCATGCTAGAACCATAGAACCAGATACTATAGAGAATTTAAAAGAAATTCAAATACAGAGCACGTAATGATAGACTTAACAAACAACTCAGGCTAGAATCTTAAATGTACAGAAAGTACATATGAGACACTGGACATAATAGTCCTATTAGGACTAGAACACCCTTGACTATAGAGGGCTGAGCTGCATGAACTTGTTGAAAATGTTGAGTTCTATACCTGGCTCAGAAAAAAATTCAGTAAGGGGCACCAAAGCACAGAGAACAGGAATAATTTCTGGTTCTTCATTACCACAGTAGGGTAACTATTGATTAAGATAATCAATGGTATATTTCAAAACAACTGGAAGCATACAAAATCCCCAACACAAATATGATTAATGCTTGAAGAACTGGAAATGCTTAGTACCCCAATTTAATTTTTACAGTATGCATGTGTTAAATTACCATAAGGCATTCCATAAAAGCAAAGAAGTAGTATGTATCAATTAGAAAAGAGAATACAGGGCTGGTAAGATAGCTCAGTGGACTAAACCCCTGCTTTGGCAAACACAGGGACCAGGGTTTGATCCCCAGTCCTGCATGCAGTGCCGGCCTCACCCCCTGGGGCACGCTGAGCCGGTGACCAAGTCCTGGCATGGTGGTTCATGCCTGTAATCCCAGGGCTGGGGAGGCTGAAAACAGGAAGATCACTATGAGTCTGAGCTGCATAGTGAGACCTTGTACTAAATACATAAGGGGGGGAGAGAGAGAGAGAGAGAGAGACAGACAGACAGACAGACAGACAGACAGACAGACACAGAGAGAATGCAGTGCTTTAGCTAGCTGTTCTGAGAAATGTATAAGAAACTGAAACATATATCATTTTACAGCAGTGAATTTCTTATTGGAAGCTAACAAACTACAGAAATGAAGGCAGGGCTTCTCAGCCAAGACAACAAATAAAACAAAGTCCATGTACTCTCTGGAATTCTGTCTCAGTTACTTGTCTCTCATTGCTGGGACAAAACACCCAATGCCCAAAATTAAGGAAGGAAAAGTGTATTTAGCTCACAGTGGAGCTTTCAGTCTGTACTCAGCTGGCTTCAAGGCAGAGTGGCACATGACAGAGGACAGCAGTTCATGGCAGAGGAAGACAGCAAAGAGCAAAGAGAGGAGCAGCGGCTGGGGCAGCTAGCAAGCCTCTCTCCCCTCCTTATATTGTATGCAGATTACCCTCCCCAGGGCGGGTGTAGCACTCACACCCATAATCCCAGCACTGGATCATGAATTGATCACAGACTCTAGATGCCACCCCATGACTGCATGAGGCTTTGGGAGGACACCTAGACACAAACCATAACAAATACTATGCAAAAGAAAAGAAGAAAGAAAGAAAGAAAGAAAGAAAGAAAGAAAGAAAGAAAAGAAAGAAGAAAGAAAGAAAGAAAGAAAGAAAGAAGAAAGAAAGAAGAAAGAAAGAAAGAAAGAAAGAAAGAAAGAAGAAAGAGAAAGAAAGAAGAAAGAAAGAAAGAAAGAAGAAAGAAAGAAAGAGAAAGAAAGAAAGAAAGAAAGAAAGAAAGAAAGAAAAAAGAAAGAAAGAAAGAAAGAAGAAAGAAAGAAAGAAAGAAGAAAGAGAAAGAAAGAAGAAAGAAAGAAGAAAGAAAGAAAGAAAGAAAGAAAGAAAGAAGAAAGAAAGAAAGAAAGAAAGAAAGAAA